GCAGCCGTGTCTACCCTTCCGAACAGCGAACGCGCAATCCACCCTTTTCCTCGGATCGTAGCCCCGAACGAACAAAAAGCAATTCCGGATCCTGTCTTCTAGATGGACCTAATTGATCGTCGAGCTTTTCGCGCTCTCCCCTCGATCCTCGCTATTAAGTTGAACGGATCAGGGCTCGGGGTCAGCCCCCAGGGCCGGGGGTTGCCTCTGCCGAGGCTCATTTGCACCCCGCTATCGTCCATTTGTATTCAATATCGCGGCTTTACCAGCTTATACAGGCTCGAGGGTCTCGCGTACTCGGGCCCCGTTTCAATTTCATTCACGGGAGGGATTGCCCGCCGGCCCTTGAGTGGATCCTGACGACGTTAAGTCGCTCTATGCTCATAAGCCTCGTGTGCTGGCATCGTTATCCTTGCTAATCCTTGCCAAACGCGAGTCAAAGCTTCGTCAATTTGTCGTACGTAGTTCCACGATCGTAGTTCAAATACCAAACGCATCCAAGATGTCGAGGAAGGGGTTGTGAACGTGGGGATGAAATCAACCGCGATACCAATGATCGGTTCTCGATGGATTAACGAGAATCTAATGGATCTCGAGGCTCAGTTTTAGAACGATTTTTGGCGAGAGATGGATTTCAATTATTTTGGGTTTTGAGGGGATTATTAGGGGACTAGGAGCTATTGCTGCGTTGGTATGGGTTTGAAAAACCTTCGATATTTTTTCTTTATAGAAATATAGAAATTCCACAGATTAGGCTGTGTTACATGTAATAAGTTAATAATCTACCATCTCTCGTTTGTTCTTTGAAATATAAATCATCTTTCTCAAGAATAATCTGATACCCGATAAAATGAGTTTTAGAGAGAAGTTTCGCTATCAAAAGAAAAAGAAAAAGAAAAGAGAAAGAGAGAAAACAATTACTCTAAAGCCGTCGAATTTCGGTTTATTTCACGGAGCGCAGGGCGTCAAATTCACTCGGAGGCGGCCGGTGGTTTCAACGGTTCCTTAGATAAATGCCCGGTGAGGGTGGCGAGGGGAGGGATCGACGATGGGAAAAACCAGGCGGCGAGGGGAAGCCGGAGGAAATTCCGCGGAAATTGAAGCGACGCCCGACGCACCGGCCGGATAAAGAAAGGGCGAGGTTAATCGAGAAAATATGCAAAGCAGAGGGCGCGTCGTGGCGCCGCCTAATTAGAATAAGGGTTAGTTTTGGCTTATGGTTTCGGTTAAGGGTGGCCGGATCCCATCGGGAAGCCGCAGAGAACCAAGAGATGGAGTGACGCTAGGCTGGAAAGAGGCAGAAAGAGAGAAAGAGAAAGAGAGAGAGAGAAACGAAGAGAACGGGGTTGGAACATAGCCAATCATCGGATTAGCATACTGATGCTCAGGGGCGGCGCTGTCGTTAGCGTGGAGGGTGCTACTTGGTGGCTTTGAATTTTATATTGCCGCTACAGCCAGTAACTGGCGTATAAAGGCCGGTTTTGTGGTAGGGCGGACCACTTCCGGCCGTACCAGGCCTACTGCTTTTTCTTTTTTCGTCTCTTCCTTCTTCTTTCGTTATTCTCCCTTTTCTACTTTTTTTTTCTTTCCCTCCCTCGTTTCTTTCCCTCTCGCTTTAAAACATCCCTCGTATCGATACATCCCTCGTAGCGCCACTTTCTTTGTCGGGATATTGTAAAAAAGTTTCATCGACCGTGAGCAAAGTTGAGTATTTCTTTTCTTCCTTCTTTTTTTTTTTTTTTTTTTAACAGACACGACACTTTATTTTATTAGTTGTTTATTAATGACTGCAGTGTTTCTAAGAGACTCTCATTTTAATCCAGCAATCAGTTTCGAATCAAAAATTGGCCGATGGCTTTTAAAAATATATTGAAAACGTCAATGAATCTCCAATGGTACATTCAACCAAGTGCATAATAAAGGAGATTTTTCTTGATAAATAAAAATCGTCGATATTAGCTTAAATCATTGAGAGTTCATCAAAGTCCCAACCTCGATAAAAGCCAAATCAAAGTTACTTCTCGGGCCTCAATTGACTCGACCATTAAATTTTCCCCAAACGAAGAAAAAAAAAAAAAAAAAAGAAACCAAAATGACTGGACTGGATATCGCGTAATCGCGTGCCCAGTGTCGGCGAGTTTGGGCACGTTATTTCATTAAGTTTTTAAGCGGACGAGTCACGGGGCGCTCGAGCGTGGCCGGCCGATTCGTCATGCCGGTTAAAAAGAAATATTTTTCTCGTGTAAAGGAAGAAAGAGAAAAAGAAAGCGAGAGGGGGGGATAGGAAAGAACGAAGCGAAGGAGGAGATTAAAAAAAGGGGGGGTAGGAGGGGGTAACACCGGGACCGGCGTAGCTCGTTGTCACGTCATTTATCAAGGCAGCCGCCGGAACGATCGTATCGCGGCGCGCGAAGAATCAATCTGTCCGTTGGCCAGATTTCCACGCTGGCCACCAGTTATTAATCGCCACGCCTCGCCATTTGTTGCGTTTACGCGACATAATATTATCGACATAATTCCTCGAAACGTAGACGCTCGTGACCTCCGGGTACACTTGTGATACGAATACGAACTGTTTGTAACGATCGTGAATTATAGAGTTTTGTAGGATGGAATACATTCTTTCGCCATTTCCGTTTGACTATCCGTTTAGTTTAATTTGCTAACGATAATGATTCAATTGATCTGACATGATGGTCGTCGAATTCTTACAAAAATGAATGAATTCGTTGCGTAATATCTTCTGTATAATAGGTGCAAACTAAAAAAAAAAAGGCTTCAATGTTTGAATCAAAAATAAACAATCCAGTATACATAAATCGATATACCAAGAGCTCGGAAATGTCATGAAACCACGAGCAGCCCCGAACTGACATTCCTCAACACGTCAGCTAGCGTTCATTCAGAATCATCGTGGCTGAAACGGCCACTCGAATCAAACGCGCCCTCGCGTGTGTTTCGAGAGATAGAAAGTAATGATGATCTCCCCCCCCCCCGTCTCCTCCCCCTTGTGATACATCCGACCGTCATCGCGATCTCTTACCATCCCCCGTGATCGAAACAATATCTCAGCAAGAAGAAAAGAGAAAGAATCAAAAAAAAAAAAAAAA